TGTCCAATATTGACAGTGGGGTGTTCAGGTCCCCTGCTATTATGGTTTTAGTGTCTATTTCCTTTTTTGTAGGTCTAATAAAGTTTGTTTTATAAATCTGGGTGCTCCAACATTGGGTGCATACATATTTATGATTGTTATGTCTTCTTGATGCATCATTATGTAGTGACCCTCATTGTCTCTTTTTATGGATTTTAGTTTAAAGTCTATTTTGTCTGATATGAGTATAGCTACTCCAGCTCGTTTTTCTTTTCTGTTTGCTTGGAAGATCTTTTTCCATCCTTTCACTCTTAATCTATGTGGGTCTTTATGATTTATAAAACAAACTCTATTAGACCTAAGAAAGGAAATAGACACTAATACTATAATAGCAGGGGACCTGAACACCCCACTGTCAATATTGGACAGATCAACTAGGCAAAGAATTAGCAGAGAAACACAAGATCTTAACAATACTTTAGACCAATTGGACTTGGCAGATATCTACAGAACATTCCATCCAACAACTTCAGAATATTCATTCTTCTCATCAGCACATGGATCATTCTCCAGGATAGATCACATATTAGGACACAAATCAAGTCTCAACAAATTCAAAAAAATTGGAATTATCCCATGTATTTTCTCAGACCACAATGGATTAAAACTAGAAATCAATAACAAACGAAACTCTGGAAACTATACAAACACATGGAAATTAAACAACATTCTACTTAACGACACATGGGTCCAAGATGAAATCAAGTAGGAAATAAAAAAATTAATTGAAACAAATGAAAATGATGATACATCACAACAAAACCTGTGGGACACTGCCAAAGCAGTATTATAGGGGAAATTTATTGCATTAAATACTTATCTCAGAAGAATGGAAAGATGGCAAGTGAACAACCTAACACTGCACCTTAAAGAACTAGAAAAACAAGAACAATCCAAACCTAAAGTTAGCAGACGGAAAGAAATCATAAAGATCAGAGCAGACCTTAACGAAATTGAAACCCAAAAACAATATGAAAGATCAACGAATCAAAAAGTTGGTTTTTTGGGCCGGCCCGGTGGCGCACTGCTATAGTGCGCCGCTTGGGAAGCGCAGCGGCGCTCCCGCCGAGGGTTCGGATCCCACATGCAGACCGGTTCCCACTCACTGTCTGAGCGAGGCGCGGGAGCAACACCGAGGGTTGCCATCCGGTTGCCGGTCCCGGTCCGGTACGGGGGCGACACTGAGGGTTGCGATCCATTGCCGGACACGGAAAAAGACAAAAAAATAAATAAATAAATAAATAAAATATTCACTTCTTTAGTTTACTTACCCATACCTGTTTAAATGAAAGGACCTACAATATTTTATAAAACATTGGTCTTTCCCACTTTCTTCAGACCATTTTATCCAGATCATTCGTTTACACCTTTGGTGTCAGTGTTTTTGTCAAGAACCCCTTTTGGGTCGTCTGACACCATTTACCAGAGCAAATCCTTCACTTCTTCCTGTGCTGTTTTTGAATCAATATATGATGTTATCACTGAATATTGTACCCTAAACTGCAGGTATTTATTTGTATAGCATTAGTATAATTGATGTCATTTTTAATCCATCTTTTAGGTATATTTATGAACTCTATAACTTAACCAACACTTGGTTATTTTTTTCCACCAGCCTACGAAGGTCATGTTTACAGCACTACTAATGGACAGTTGTGGGTCATGCTCAGGAATAATTACTGCATCTGAATTGTGCATCTTTGTCTTTTTTGATTATTAATTCTATCAGCTGACATATGTTAGTAACCTGGTTTGGGAAAACTTATGATAGTTGCATTTACAGAAATAGTTTTTGGCTAACGTTTCTTTACCAAACAGCATTTTGTCATTCAAAACAAGTAATTAAGTCAAAGGGTAAGCAAGAGGTGATCATCATTTAAATTCAAATCTCCACACATCTTCCTAAAAACAACACAGTTCCTGAAAGAGATCAAATAAGGCCACTCAGCCCATGCCTGTGACATAACCAGGAGAGAGTCCTGATGGACATGAGTCGGTCCTGATGGACCGACAGAGCCAGCCTGTCTCTCTAATAAGAACTACAAACCACTTCTGAGAGAAATTAGAGAGGATACAAGAGGATGGAACGATAGCCCATGCTCTTGGATTGGAAGAATCAACATAGTGAAAATGGCCATACTACCCACAGTGATAGACAAATTCAATGCAATCCCCATCAAAATTCCAATGGCATTTCTCTCAGAAATGGAAAGAACTCTCCAGACATTTGTATGGAATAACAAAAGACCACGCATAGCCAAAGCAATGCTGAGCAAAAAAAATAATAATGCTGGAGGCATAACTCTACCTGACTTTAAACTATACTACAAAGCCATAATAACCAAAACAGAATGGTACTGGTATAAAAACAGACACACTGATCAATGGAACAGAATATAGAATTCAGAAATCAACCCACACATTTACTGCCAACTGATCTTTGACAAAGGCACCAAGCCTATTCACTGGGGTTGGGACTGCCTCTTCAGCAAATGGTGCTGGGATAACTGGATATCCATATGCAGGAGAATGAAACTAGACCCATACCTCTCACCATACACTAAAATCAACTCTAAATGTATTAAGGATTTAAATATACACTCTGAAACAATAAAACTTATTAAAGAAAACATAGGAGAAACACTTCAGCAAATAGTGCTGGACACAGTCTTCATGAATACGACCCCAAAAGCACAGGCAACCAAAGGAAAAATAAACAAATGCGACTATATCAAAGTAAAAAGCTTCTGCACAGCAAAAGAAACAATTAACAGAGCTAAAAGGCAACCAACAGAGTGGGAGAAAATATTTGCAAAATATACATCTGACAAAGGATTAATATCCAGAATATACAAGGAACTCAAACAACTTTACAAGAAAAAAACAAGCAACCCAATTAAAAAATGGGCAAAAGAGCTAAGTAGACAATAGTGTAAGGAAGATATACAAATGGCCAACAGTCATATGAAAAAATCCTCATCATCACTCAACATCCGGGAAATGCAAATCAAAACCACACTGAGATACCATCTCACCCCAGTTAGGATGGCAAAAATCCAAAAGACGCTGAAAGATAAATGCTGGCGTGGTTGCGGAGAAAAAGGAACTCTCATACATTGTTGGTGGGAATGCAAAATGGTGCAACCCCTATGGAAAATGGTTTGGAGGTTCCTCAAACAGTTGAAGATAGATCTACCATATGACCCAGCTATCCCACTGCTGGGAATATATCCAAAGGAATGGAAATCATCAAGTCGAAGGTATACCTGTTTCCCAATGTTCATTGCAGCACTCTTCACAATAGCCAAGAGCTGGAATCAGCCCAAATGTCCATCATCGGATGAGTGGATACGGAAAATGTGGTATATCTACACAATGGAATACTACTCAGCTATAAAAACGAATGAAATACTGCCATTTGCAACAACATGGATGGACCTTGAGAGAATAATATTAAGTGAAATGAGTCAGGCAGAGAAAAAGAAATACCACATGTTCTCACTTATTGGTGGGAGCTAAAAATACACAAATAAATTCACTCACATACACACACACAAAAAAAACTGGGGGGCTGGGGGAAGAAGATATAACAACTACAATTTTTTGAAGTTGTTACAACAAGCCAACGAAAAGGACATTCTTTGGTGGGAGGGGGGAGAGGAAGGAGAGAGGGAGGTTTCGGTGATGGGCCATAATAATCAACTACATTGTATATTGACAAAATAAAAATTAAAAAAATTTAAAAAATCTCATCATGCTACTCATAACAGTGGACAATTTAAAACTTACAAATTGTTTTATTACTGGAATTTTTAAAATTTGCGGACCACAGTTGACTGCAGGTAACTGAAACCCCAGAAAGTGAAGGCATAGATAAGGCGAGACTACTGTACTCTGTAGGAGAGGCAGACAGATTTTTTTCTGTAAAGGGCTAGATAGTAAATACTTTTAGGCTTTGTGGATCTTAGCATGTTTGTTTCAACTACTCAACTTTACTAAAAGGCAGCTGCAGACAACAGATAAATGAATGGATGTAGCTGTGAACTAATAAAACTTTATTCCCCAAAACAGCCAGATTTGGCCCTTCGCTGTATCTTGCAGCCCCTGTTCTATAAGCAAATACTCATCGGTGTGATCTTAACTTGTTCTGGATCTTATGTACTTTTATTTTATTTTATTTATTTACTTATTTATTATTATTTATTTATTTATCCCTTGAGAACTCTGACTTTATTTTTTTTATCTTTTTAATTTTAATTTTAATTTTTTAAATTTTATTTTATTGTGTCAATATGCACTGTGGTTGATTATTGTGGCCCATTACGAAAACCTCCCTGGATCTTATGTACTTTTAGAGGAAACTGGAATGACATGCATGTACGTTGTAACTATACAAATCATTCAAGTAGTATATGTTTATATGATTAGCATTATGTATTAGCATTAACATTTATATGATTATCATTAGCATATATGAGGTGAGTTATAAATGATAATTGCTGATTTTAGATTATACATTTTATTTTTAGTTATTTTTGTTTAAGTTACAAAGTATTTTTTTCCCCTCACCCCAGGGAGATTCTAATCAAGCAGGTGATGACTCACCATTCTCAGATTCTGTTACCTTGGAACAAACTACAAGTAACATTGGTGGATCCAGTGGACGTGTTAGTCTGTGGATGCAGTGGGTGCTCCCCAAAATTACTGTAAAGCTCTTTGCTCCAGATCCTGAAAATAAAGGCACAGGTACAGGATTACTGTTCTTCTCTACTGAAAAGATCAAATGTTAAATACTTTTTAGAAGAAATATTAGACTTTATTTATTATTGTCATTTATAATTAAGATAAACACCTTATATATATATCTTATAATTAAGATATTCACATTGCCATATTAAATGCCATATTACATCTACTTCAAGCAGTTTCTATTAGCCATGCTAACATGTTGAATCTTATCAATATTTAAGGTTTATGTGTTCATGTATACATATTCTCTGTGACTGTATAATACCTACATTTTGTCCTGTTTGTATTGAAATTCATCCCAAGAGTCATGAGGGAATTACCTTATTGGTCATCTTTTGTGTTGTATCATTGTCACTAAAAGGATTGCAAAGATCCTTGACTGATATTAGGCATCACTTCAAGCACTAACTGGGATTTCTCCTAAATTGAATAGATGTCTTATCTTAATTGTAAGGCCTATAGGTCTTCAATATTAATTAATTAATACTAATAATAAACATTAATGTTAATGATATTAATTTTGCCTATTATTGTAGAAGCTTGTGTGATTTCAGTGCCTCTGTAAATATCCAGAGTGTATATACCAACTTGAAATGTCAAATAGAAAGTTTTAGTATTGATTGTGAGAACTGTATTGATATTAATGTTTGCTTCGTATTGCAGAGGTTTGTATGGTCAGTGAACTAGAAGATCTCAGTGCTTCCATAGATGTCCAGGATGTATACACCAAAGTGAAATGTAAAATAGAGAGTTTCAATATTGATCACTATAGAAGCAGGTAAATAGTGAGTAATGAATATAGCAAAAGCTATATTTACTTTGAACAAAGTCACTAAGAGTTTTCCTATTTTAAGTTGGCTATTTTAAAAAATGGCTATACTTTTTCCCAAAGAGTGTTCGTAACAGATAAATTGGTTAATTTTATTTAGTATTCATTCATATATGGAGTATAATAAAATTTTGTTTTATAAAATTGTCAATCTGTTCATAAATATTCAGATTGCCATATTAAATGAAATAAGCTCCTTTTACTGATCATCTCCCACAATTTATTATGTGTGTTGTATATTTGCTAAGATGCCTGGAACACAGTTGATGGCTGTAGTTTTTGCTCTATACTTCTCATCCACTCCCAATAACAATATAATGATACACTGAGCTAAAGCAACAGCTCATGTCCCTTACCCTCTGAAGACTTTTCTTTTCTTTTTTTTTTTTTTTATCTTTTTCGTGACCAGTAGGGGATGACAACCCTTGGTGTGGGGTTGCCCGCACTGCGCTCAGCCAGTGAGCGCACCAGCCGGTACTATATCGGATCCGAACCCATGGCGGGAGCGTCACTGTGCTCCCAGTGCCGCACTCTCCCTAGTGCGCCACGGGGCCGGCCCCTGAAGACTTTTCTTATCTCACAGATGATTAATGTACATGTGATGGATGTTCCTAGAACCATATTGTTCCTTCTTTAATAAATTTCTACTAAAAGTATTATTTTATGCAAATATGGTTTATTTGTAATAATAAATGATAATTTAAAAGTTAAGTTTTAGATATTTTCACAAGCTCTATAGCAGTTTTGTCATTAACTTTTCCCAAATAAAAATACAAAATTTTTTTTTTTGGCTTTATAATAGTACACTAATGTTTTATTTTTAATTGAAATATAATTCTTCACATACTGTAAAACTCACAAATGCTTTTTAAAAATATTTTTTAAATAGCATCATACTTAATTTCATAGTATTTTGGCTTAACAACAGCCTTAAAATTAATTTCATTCTGGATTCATAACATTTATTCATTCAATAATTTTTTTTTTTTTTTTTTTTTTTTTTTTTTTTTTTTTTTTTTTTTTTCTTTTTTTTTTTTTTTCCGTGTCCGGCAATGGATCGCAACCCTCAGTGTTGCCCCCGTACCGGACCGGGGACCAGCAACGGGATTGCAACCCTCGGTGTTGCTCCCACGCCTCGCTCAGCCAGTGAGCGGGAACCGGTCTGTATGTGGGATCCGAACCCTCGGGCGGGAGCGCCGCCGCGCTTCCCAAGCGGCGCACCATCCAGTGCGCCACCGGGCCGGCCCCCTCATTCAATAATTTTTTATTGAAGCACATGTAGTCTTTTTTAATTTAACAAGTTTCTAATTCTACATTAAAACATTTGAATTTTTATCCATTATCACATATTTCATATTGCTTATGTCAGTAACTGTCAAATCTGTCACAACTGAAAAATTGTGTAAAATACAAAATGTTTTGTTGAATATGTATTAAGACTTGTTATAACAGCATTATCTTGACAATCACGTGATAATTATTTTTGTCATATTAACAGTGAATCATTAATTGGTTTTTGATAATGGAATGTTTCGCTCTTTATTTCCTTTCCCATGGTACATATCTAAAACAAAATGATCTTTACAAGTGATACATCATCAATACAGTATTATAGCTAGGTAATTTCTTCATGATGTGACTATTATAAGCTACGTTGTAGTTTATCCCTGACTTTACTTTTAAATTTATGTAAATTTTAAATAGTTAGATAATTTATTCATTCATTTAATCTAAAAGTTTATTGTGTGTGTTATTTGCCAAGAGCTATGATAAGCACCAGGGATATAGTGTTTAACACAAATAGACGTAGATCCCATTCTTATGGATCTTACAGTCTTGTTGATGAGATAGAAATTAATAACCAACCAAATAAATGTACAATTTACCATTAGGGTATATGCTTCTATATAGAACTATCAGGGTAAGGTGCTAATGTAAATTGTTCTATTGATTGCCTTATCAGATACACGTTTTAGTTCAGTGTAGTGTTGTTTACTATAGAACTATTTGAAATAGTTATACGTGCTTGATTTTTAACTCCCCAAAATTGAAGAGAATAGATAAGGTGAACTTATGTTTTCCAGGCCAGGGGAAGGTTGGCAGTCAGGACATTTTGAAGGAGTATTTCTGCAGTGCAAAGAAAAACCTGTGGTGAGATTCATTTAGTAATTATGATTTTTAAAAATATATTTTAAACTGTTTATCTTTTTTTCATTCAATAGGACTAATGGTTATAAGAATTAGAGCTCAGACTAAATTGTTTTTGACCTATTCCTCTAAAATTGCATTATAAATTTAAAACTATTTATTCTTTTAAGCTGCTCATGTTTTGTAACTATCTTCCTATTATAGCAATTAAGTAAATTTATCCAAAGGGACAAAGGTAGGATTGCTTTTATTACTATATTTTAGCTTTAATGTACTATTGTGTTGACTTTTTGGAAGTTTTTCCCATTTCATAAGTGAGTTTATGCTGGACTGTCCTTAACCATAAACTAAAAGTAATAATTTTACACTAAAAGCTATTATTTTTTGTTTACTTCCATTAACAATGCTTTTGCAGAAGATGGTCCAGACAGAGGCCATACCTAGCAGTGGCTCAAACCTACACCTATGCAAACTTGAGCAGAATTAAAAACTATTCAGATTTTTTTTGCTTATGGCTTTTATTGCTTTTTGTCTTTTCACCTTCTTTGCTCCTGTCCATCATCTCAAGCCTTGGGGAAGAGTGTTGGTCTTTGGGGCAATGTGGAGGTGTCTTCCTTTCCTGTACTGACAAGCTGAACAGACGCACCTTGTTGGTTCAACCCATCAGCAAGCAGGACCCTTTCAGTAATTGCTCTGGCTTCTTTCCTTCTGTAAGAAATCATTTTTAAATTATGCTACAGAACTCCCATTAACAGGAACCCAGAGGAATTGAACTATCCGTAGAGTCAACTCTTGATTTTCATTTTCCTCTGTAGTATCCAATTTGTAAATTAACTATAATGTAATTTAAAATCATAGACTGGTTTTCCACTATAATCTGTTTCTGGGTCACTTGTTTCTGGGTCACCCTGATTTTATGAATACAGGCTAATTTTACGATCGATATAAGAAAATCAAAGTAGGACGTCAAATATGTTTTCTAATTGTGCATGTGTTGAATGATCAAGCATCGAACAATACTCTTCTTATCATTTATGATTCTAACTGAGATTGCTTCTTGTTTTTTTGTTTTTCTCTATTATTATGCCATTGCCTTCTCACAACTAATTCAAAGTACCTTATTTGGTACTCTGTACTTCTGTCATTGACTGGATAGAAGACAAACACTTAACTGTATGCCAGTGACTTTTAGAAGTTTATAACCTTGCTTTTTGTAATTGTACCACATCTAAATATGTTCTTAAGCTAACTATTTTAAGTGATATTCTTAAAGTCAATAAAAATGTGTGTAATTTTTATCTATTATCATTAATATCTATTAATTGCAAGTTATCACAATGGCAATAGCCATTCTTCTAAGTATTTATTAAATCACTGCAAACAATACTAGATATTTTCTCAGCAAGTGCGAACTATTCATCTATTTCTTTTTCCTTTTTGTAGCTCAAAAGAGATTTCAGACATGTATCTTTAAAAGTCTTTTAAATAATTGTGTTCATTTCATATTTAATAGTGTATTTGCATAGCAAATGCTATTTTCTGATTTGATTTCGAACTTTTTCTGGCATGGTCTCTCTTTAGTACTGGAAAAGTTCTCTTAAATTTGGCTTTCGTGTCAGTGGAAGTTCTGTTTAGATTTATTTCATCTCTTTGAATGTTCATTTGTGTGTATGAGAAATATTCTTAATAATTTAACAGGTATGCATAAAAAAACTCCAAATTTATTATTAATGTCCTTTTAAAAAATTGTATTTTTTATAAAAATTTTAAATTAAATGCCTTTTGTTAAAATTTCCTTAATCATTAGTGTTTTCTCACTTTTCTATTTAAATAGTATAATATTATTATTGTATGAAAAGTAGTATTTATATTATCTCAACTCCAAATAGTATCCATTTTTTCCTCTTATATTAAGGGAGTTAAGGATGTTTAAAAAAATAAAAACATAAAAGCACTCTTCCCTCACGTAGCTTACCTTCCAAGAGTGTTACCTTTAAACATTCAATATGTTTAAAAATTTTTCCAAATCAAACTATTCATACATTGTACTAGCTTTTATACTACTTCCACAGTTTAAATGTTGCTATTAATAAAGATTTATTATGAGTTAGATTACTTAGATTAGTGGTCATTACTAACCCCGTCCCCAGAGTCCAGTTTAGACACTAGAATAGACAGCATTGCTGTGGCCTCTTCCATTGGGGCTGTCCCCAGTCACCCTTTTCCATTCATTATTGCCTGCTATTCAGCAATGTGGTGGTAAGACTGGTAGCATTCTTACTTTCCCATGCTTGTTTTTGTTTTGAGTATAGAAAGCAAAAAGAAAGGGAAATTAGGGAGGAGAAGCAGTGAGAAAGTTGAGAATGGTGAAAAACGCTCTGAGGGCAGACCATTGGGGGAAAAATGATTATATTGAACAACAATTTAATGCTTACTTTCCAAGTTGTTTTTTTTAATGGTCAGACAGTTATGGGGGAGGGGGTAAGGACATATACAAAGGTACTTCAGAAAGTTCATGGAAAATTTGAATTAAAAGATAACACGAATCCTTCCATGAAATTTTGAAGACCTTTTGTAGAAAGATAAATTTTTTTGCCTTCTTTCAGGGTAAAGTCCAGATTAAAAGCAAAATTAGTGATGATAGCTGAATTGCATACTTTTCTTTTTCTCTCACCATGTCATTGGATGACAGTTGACAACAACATGAGAAGAAGAAAGTAGAAACAAAGATCTTTAGGAGAGGTGGGATAACATAGGCTCAGACACATCACTGCTTTGCTACTTCTTTTTTCTTTTTATATGAATATATTTCCTTCTTTTTTCTTCTTCCCCAGTTCAGTTCTTTTGTTAACATCCCTCTTTGTACTCTAGTAATTAAAAAACTTTTTCAGGTATTGGGAAGAGGGGTTGGGAATGCGGGATATAACAATTCTATTTGAATTTTATGTTAAATAATTTGCAAAATAGCACTTTACATACATTGATTGATTTGGAAAAATTTTGTTCAACAGGTATTCTTTATCTTTTTTGGGGGGGGCAGTTGGCTGGTATGGGGATACAAACCTTTGACCTTGTGTTATAACAGCATGCTCTAACTAGCTGAGCTAACCAGCCAGCCTGAGGGTATCCTTTTCTTATGAGGAATACAAAAGTATGCATTTTACTTTACTTTTAAAAAAAATGTTGTTTTACTATAATTTGTTTATATTGTAAAATTCAAATATGAAAATTACTTGGGCTAGTTTTAACAGAAATATTATAGGTATAATTTTGTTTTACTCTTCCTCAAACGTTATACGTTTACTAATACAGTAGTATACCTAAGATTATGAGTTGTAGGAGACGTGATAGGTTTTCTAAACAATGTGATAGCCACTGAAAATAGGCAGATTCCAAAAAATAAATGTTTTATTTTTGTGTCACATTACTATTTCCAGTAAAGATGCACTAACTGGTTAGTTTAGTTATCAAAGCCTGGTATCAGTGAAGCTCTTTTTATGGGCTCTGTCTTCATATAAATTAGGCAAATCATTAAAGGAAAAATTCTGTTCTTATAAATGTTGAAGTGACATCATCCAGTGAAGGCCATCATTTGCCCTATTGAGGTTTGATCCCAAATAAAAATATATAACATGATTATTTCAATTTCATCTGAATAAAGAATCCGTCTGTGACTCATATTATGACAGTATATTGATACTCTTAATGAAAAATTATTGAGAAATGAGAGATAAAATCAAGAGATAGTGTTTTCCAAATTCTTAATGTTACAGAAAATGCAGAAATCACAGAAACAGGCACAAAGAGGTTAATTACCTCTCTGAAAATTTAGAGCTTGAACTCAGGATTTCTGATTTTCTGTTCAGTCATTTGAACAGTCTTAGAAGCTTTTGTACCATGTGCAGAATTGATTAGTCGTGTGTTTACTTAGAGGTATACAGTGAAGACAAAAAGGTCAGAATACTAACTGAGGTCATTTTCTTCTTTCAATTAGTTTTTTTCTTTTTTTAATGAAATATGTATTATGATTTCCTTTTTCTGGAACAGACGACCACAAAACTTCTAGATGGCTCTCATCAACAGCATGGATTTCTCTCTCTGACATATACTAAAGCTGTAACAAAAAATGTTCGCCACAAGTTGACATCAAGAAATGAGCGAAGAAGTTTTCATAAGTTATCTGAAGGTTTAACGGATGGTTCCCCTCATTTTCTTCATGAAATTCTCCTTTCAGCACAAGCCTTTGATATTGTCCTTTGTTTTCCTTTACTAAATGCCATCACAAGTATATTTCAAGCAAAACTACAAAAGACCCAAAAAGAGAAAAGAAAATCTCCTGGGCAGCCCATGAGGACCCTTACGCTGACTTCACGCAATTTACCTTTGATTTATATCAATACAAGTGTAATCAGAATTTTTGTTCCAAAAATAGAGGAAATGCAACCAACTGTTGAAGGTATTGTCTTGTAAAATTTTTTTTTTTATCTAATTTTAAATAATTTTCTTCTAGTGACACTCATTTTCTGTTTTCTTGTCTGTTTTTTAAATATGGGCAGCTGGTTGTACTTTGCAGTTTGGAGAATTTCAGAAAAAGTAATATGTTACGGTTATTCTATAACTAAATCTTTAGGAGATATATCAGAATACTGAGTATCTGACTCCATTGGTCATTAATTAGTAGAGTAAGAACTATGAGATTTTTTTTCTTCAGGGCTTTTGCCAGTTAAGTTTATAAAGATTGAGTGTCCCTTATCCAAAATGCTTGGGACCAGAAATGTTTTAGACTTTGAAATTTTTCAGATTTTGGAGTATTCGCATTATACTTACTGGTTAAACATCCCTAATCCAAAAATCTGAAATGCTTCAGTGAGCATTTCCTTTGAGCATTGCCTGTGAGTGTCATGTTGATGCTCAGAAAGTTTCAAATTTTGGAGCATTTCAGAGTTCAGATTTTCAGATTAGGGATGTTCAATCTGTACTTTCTGTCATTTGTTTTATTAAACATTTGATTGTATATATATCTCAGATAACTAAAATTTTGTTTAAATACAAAATAATGTTCAGAATGATGAAATGTGTAAAAATTCTGTTATTTAAATGTCCACCTGATTGGGCCGGCCCGGTGGCGCACTGGATAACATAGGTTAAAAAAAAAAACCCTATATTTTTACACATGATAGGTCTCTGAGGACTGTAGTTTGAAAGCTGTAATAATATTTTCTCATAAGCAAAGAAGAGGAGGCACAGACATAAAAGATCGCTGAGATTATCAAACCATGTTTTTTATTTTATCGCTGAGAATGTGAGGAAAACACCATGGAAACAGGAGTATTTTGGCTTTATTACAAAAAATGTATCAGTATTTTGGGAAAAGAATCAGGGGTAGTCCATTACATTTCAAAAATAGCACCATGTTGCAGTACTTATAGCTATTTTTTATTAAAAATAAATCAGAAATTTTGTATCTAGATAAAAATATGAGTAAAGAAAGTTTTATGCTATCTATTTTATAAAAAAAATCTAAATATGGTTTTGGTTATGGTTAAGGATGTTATTTTCTGTAAATATCTCTCTGGTTGGTAAGCTTTTATGATTTCCTGAAAATTCCTTGCAGCATATATTTTATGTTCTCCATTCTGTAATTGTTTAATTATTTTCAGTTGAATGTAAACAATTGGCAAGGCCAAAATATCATTGAAAAATAAGAAAAAAAGTGATGTTGGAGGTGAAAGGTTGGGATGAGGTGAAAAGAAATACAAGAAGAATGCTGTATGAGAAAATAGTGAGAGGCAAAAGAGACAGAAAAGCAAGTAAAGCAACATATCTGGTTGTGCTACTTTTTGTGGTAATACAGAACTGTTCATGATTTACAAATGATCCTCAAATTTTATGACCTAATTGGTTTCTGAATAATAATTGCATGTTGACTGACCCCAAATTGAGTCCTTTTTTTCTATAACCCTACACTGTTTTAATTTAGGATGTCCTTCTTGGAAACCCATTTTATGCCATAAAATATCAGTATTGGCCACAAATATAAATTTAAAATAGTAAACCAAGTATATGTGCTTCATCATCCCTTTATGAAGTTTTAAAGCTGGCCAATAATATAAGGTGACATTAGTATGTTGATTTTTCTGCATGAACCTGCCTGGTTGAAACTTTTAAATTAGGTGTCCAATAGTGTTTATACTGGTAAAACTTCCTGAATTAGACATAGCTGTTTCTCAGTGTGGGCATTTGATCTGTATTCAGAAATCTCATTTGTCTTAAAATATTTTATCTATTTGATGTACTGAATGCTTCTGAAATTCTTTGACTGGTATTTGTTAGTGGAGGGGACATTTTCACAGTGAATTGCTATTGCATTTTATTTAGTCCTTCATTGCAGAGCTCCTTTGAATGAAATTTTTGTAACTAACCTTATCTGTGAGAGAAACCTCTATGACAGACTTGTTCTTTGACCATCTATGTCAGTATTGGTCATGGCCCTTAGGTAGTCATCACTAGAAGGGTCTTATTTATAGCGACAGATGTTTTCTCCTAAGGCAGAGTTTGCCTGTAACTATAAAATGTCTTTATCATTGATTTGGAAACCTTGTTTTTGTATTGTGGTAAAATATATATTATATAAAATCTTCCATTTTAACAATTTTTAAGAGTGTAATTCAATGGCAGTATTTACATTTACAGTGTTGGGTAAACCTCATCATCTATTTCCAAACAGAAGCTCTGTACCCATTAAGCAAAAACTACCCCCCCCCCCCCCCCTGGTAAACTCTGATCTATTTTCTGTCTCTATGAATTTGCCTATTCTAGAAATTTCATGTAAATGGAATCATGCAGTATTTGTCCTTTTGTGTCTGGCTTATTTTACTTAGCATATTTTCAGGGTTTACCCAAGTTGTAACATGTATCAGAAGTTCATTCTTTTTATGGCTGAATAGTATCCTTTTGTGTGTATATACCACATTTTGTTTATCCATTCATCTGACAGACACTTGGGTCATTTCCACCTTTCGTTTGGCTAATGTGAGTAATGCTGCTGTGAACACTAGCATGCAAGTATAAGAATCTGTTGAATCCTTATTTTCAGTTCTCTTGGGTGAATACATGAGAGTGGAATTTCTAGGTTGTATGGTAATTCCATGTTTAGAACTCTGTTTTTTGAGGAACTACCAAAAGGCTTGGAAGCCTTTTCATATTAGGGCAGGATTTGTGGTATATTCTGAACAACGTCAATGTGCAGGCACAGTTCCATCAACAAGAACAATGGGAGCTCCCAGGAGAGTAATACCTGTGTGCTGAGCACCTGAACATCTCTGTGGAGAGGCCAGAAGTTCATTGTTTAACTAGCATTATTTTTCTGTCACAATCATCAAAGATGTATTGAAAAATCCCCAATTAAATTATAATTGAAAAAATATTTCCAGACTTTTTCCATTTTGTTTTTAAAACTGTTTTGTTTTGTTCTTTTTCTTTTTTTCTTTTTGGTTTGATTGTGGTGAGTTTTTTAACATATAATTAATTCTATAATTCAGGTGCCTACATACTTCCTAAGGTCACCTTGAATAAAAGCATATGAGATAGATGTTGTTATAGTAATCTTTGGAAAATATAGTGTCACATTTCTCTATGGACTTATAGGTTAATTTTAATCCTTTGCAAATATGAACACTTCTTTTTTTTTTTTTCCTTTTTGTCTTTTTTACTGACCGGCAACGGGGTCTCAACCCTCGGTGTTGCGCCCGCACCGCGCTCAGCCAGTGAGCGGGAACAGGTCTCCACATGGGATCCGAACCCTCGGCGGGAGTGCCGCTGCACTCCCAAGCGGCGCACTCTCCAGTGCGCCACCAGGCTGGCCCAACACTTCTTGCAGTAAAGTTTTATTGGTGTTTTTTTATGACATACGTGTGTATATCTATAGAATAAATTAATCTCAAAAGCATTGCTAGATCAAAGATACATACGTTGAAAATACTAATAGATGTAAAATTGCCTTCCTAGATGGTTGTACCAGTTTATTCCATTTCCTTACTCTCACCCTAACAGAGGTTTATAAAACTTTTTGGTATGTTGTCAGTCTCTTTAGTGAAAAGTATACTACTTTTTAAGAAGTTATCTTTTCCTTATTAATTAATAAGAGCTCTTTGTATAGTAATCCTTTTGTCTGGCATATGTATTGCATATATTTTTACATTTCTGGTTTTTGTCCTCTGCCTGTGTGTGTATGTCTGTACCTATGCATATATCCATACTTATATCTATACCTATACCTATATCTATCTGAGGCATAACAAATTTCCAGGCTATGTGTCCATCTTGAAAATACAAATATAAAAGTGAATGCCAAAAATTAAAAAATTTAGATACATTTTTATGTTAAATTTTTGATACTTTGTCTCTCCATTGCTACTCTTAATTCAAATGATCATAATTCACCATGAAAAGGTTAGAGAAAACTTTTTTACTGAGGTAAAATTCATATAACATAAAGTTCACCATTTTAACCATTTTAAATTATAGATAAATTTTTAAATGTATATTTTGTGTAGAAGACTGGAAGTTTTCATTTAATAAATGTTAAAGGCTATAACAAAACTAAATGAGGAAACTGTGATTGAAGCAGCAATTCCATTAGAAATAAATATTTTGACTTAAATGACTCTAGTAAGATACAGTCAAGAGCATAGCATTCATTTTATTCTAGAAAGGCTTTAAAGGAAGTTTATTTGAAAAGTATTTTTATCAGATTAATTAAATTGAAAATATATATGTAAGTTGCCTCATGTATGATAGTATAACTAAATGTTGCTACATCATACTTCTCAGCAGCAACTTATTATAAGAATATCACAGAGCAATCTTTGATATTTAAACTAAATGAGATGGAAATGATTTTTAAACTAAATACAAATAAACCTACCACTAATATGCACAATGATTGTTAGGTTGCACATTTATTGAAACTTCTTTCTATTTTCAGCTACCAATATGACAATAACTAATTAAAACCTTTTGTTGATAGCTTCATGTAGGACTGTCACAACAGTTATAGCTTTTTAAAAGTACAAACTTACACAGGGGCGATATCTAATAATTCTGACACTTTAGGTGTTTTACTACAATGAGAGTCTTAAGAGATAGATAAGTCTCCAAAACACACTGATTTCATGTTGGACTTAAGAAACCTTAGTTGTAAGCAACAGAGTCTTACATTATCTGACATTGCATGAAAATTCTGCTGTTCACTCAAGCTTTTGATTACTGATGCAAGTTCATGATTTCAGAGTTGTTTATAGCCTTTTCATTTGCCTTACACACTTGCACATCTGTGCATCTTCACATAAACATATACACATTCTTTTGCCCCAAGAACAGATAAAATCTTTCAGACTTATAATTTATTTTACATTAATGTGGAACTTTTTAATCATGTTTAAAATTCAGTTAATCATAAGAAAAATATATTTAACATTCTAATATTTTATTTAGAGTAGTCATACTGAAATTCTGGTTTTCAACCTGAATATTATCTGCATTATATACATGATTCTGAATCAATAGGTATTTGACTTTCAGCTTACGCTTTTTTTTTTTGAGAACTGTAGACTGTTTTTTGGATCCAGTATGACTCTTCTAGAGTGAGTAGTTCCTCCATGAGACTCAGTTTTTAAAAATACAGTTAATGTAAAGAAGGAAGACATTCATTTTCCTGTTGAAAATGCTTCTAGAGGGAATATTTCCTCATATGGTCCAACTGTTAAATGCAGGTGAAATAAACCAAAAAAGGAAGCTTGTTTTTTTACAGCTATAAAATAACTGAAGAAATGACTCAGGGCACTTTCTTGTGTAAATACACATTTTTATTATTTTTTCTTATATCTCAATGATATATTTTGAAAAGCTGAATACTTTTTATAATAAAATTAATTATTTTAATCTAGTTTATAGATGACCTGCATAAAGTGCTTGTATGTATTTTTTATTATAACTTCATAGACAGTATAATCTACTGAGAACACTTTTGGCTCTAAGAGAAACAGAATTCTGTTCTTGGATCTGGCTGTGTATGTAGCACCAAATAGGTCATTTTTCTTCCATATGTGCCTCATTTACTGCAGCATTTCTATTACAGTTCAGTATTTCATATGGTGGGTAGTATCTGTAGCCTGAAAGAACAGTTAGCAAGTACACTAATTGCACTTTTGTGGTACGGTCTATTCTCCAGACTTACTATTTATTGATTTAATTGATGCCTGCTGCTTAATCAGAGGTTTTACCCACATGGAACTATTTGATAAGCTTGGCATAGAATGCAAGATCTGTGAAATGTAAACAATGTTCACAGTACAAGGACCTATAATCAAGCCAGACCTCTAGTCATTTGAAAATAGTGCAGCTGCATGAGGAGTAGTTTTCTATTTGATCTTTTTTGCTGCGGACATTTAGAAGTATTGTCTTTACTGTGGCATCTACACGCTAATATTTATTTTGATAGCTCATCTCTTTTTTCCCCCTTTTGCTGTCCTCCCACTTCCTACCTCCCTACCATTTTGCCTTCCCCCTCTCCCTTTATGGTCATCTTATTCTAGTTCCTTCTTTCCCTCACTGAAGATCTTTCTTCTTACTTTTTCTGATTTTCCTAATTCTGACTTTCTTTTTTTGGACTAATACAAGGCAGACCATACCAAGTATACTGCTGAAGCAGCTGGAAATAATCTCCTAGCTTTTGCATTCTTTGGGTACCACATTTTGGGAAATATGGATTGTATTCTTTTGCAGGCACGTTCTACTCAGGATATTCCTGAGGCCTTGCAGCCAGTCCTTTTCTGCTCTATTTGTGGCAGATGATAGTTCCCTGAGAGAAATTATGAATTTTAATATATGTTTACTTCAAAACCCAGAAAGTTGTATGTTGTTAACAATTATTAAACAATTTTAAACAATGTTTAAACAGCTACTATAGTAAAATTATCTGTTGGAGAATAGGGAATAAAATTTAGGGAATTTAAAAGAAAGTTAGAATTAAGAAACTCAAAAAAAGTAAGAAGAAAGATGTTCGGTGGGGAAAGAAGAAAGCAGAGTAAGATGACCATAAAGGGAGTGGGGAAAGAAGTAAGCAGAGTAAGATGACCATAAAGGGAGTGGCAAAATGGTAGGGAGGGTGGAGGAGGGAGGTCCATCAAGAGCACCTACCCATCCCAAATAATCCTTAGAAATGACATCGAATTAGCCAGTGAGTTACAGAAAAAGTGCTGAGCTTCTTAAGATGAGAACATACAGTTAAATATCATCTTATTCAATACAAAGAAAAGAATTAGAACTGATATGTCTTTTTACCTTTTTTGTTTTCTGAGTTTACTTACCTTAGTTTTAGACTTCGTTAGGAGGTAGAACTTTTAAACGGGTGAAGTTTCCATTTCTCAATCAATTTCACATTAGAAATTATTTAAATTTAAAACTGTCTTGAATAACAACTTGAAATGTTCTCTCACATTAAATAATTAATTGGTCTTTTCCATCTTCAACATTATACCCAACATATTTATTTTGGATTTTCTAACATTTCAGAGCTTAAAGTGCTATACTGGACCCTTGTGTGTGTGTGTGCGTGTGCATGTGTGTGTTTGTATTTTAGTTATTATTATTAATCATGTAAATTTAAATGGCCTTGAGAATTTGTTACTGACTCTGTGATATCCTTTAATATCTTTGTAGACAAGAATGGAGTAATAAAATCCCAGTACTGAAAGTCACTTGGGAGAAAGATGCACTAGTATAAGATTGTGAAATTAGATAAACTTACAGCTTCAATATTACTTATACTGTATATTTACCATCATATGTTTTCATGTTGGGGGGGGAATTTATTTTTTTATTGCTATTTTAACCATGTATTTTAACAAAAAAAATGCTTAATGAGATATGAAGAAAATAGAGAGTAAAGAAAAGCGTCAAGTATTTTTTATTTTAAACATAATTTTTTCCTTTTACTTTTCTTCATTTATTGATCTTGTCTTAATGGGTCTCTATCCCATTCCTTCAAAGAGATCTGTTTAAGCATAAAGTTACGCACAGATCTACAGTGTATTCAAAATCTCTTTCTTTTGTTACAGTTAATCAGGCAGCAAAAGAAGACACCATGGTTTTGAAGATCGGCTCTGTTGCCATGGCTCCCCAGGCTGACAATCCCCTTGGCAGATCTGTCCTCAGGAAAGATATTTACCAGTAAGTTTATTTTCTTATGTTCAATCTTGCAACAATTTCATCCTGCAAAGAAGTACAGTGATCAATAAAACTTGCTTAGTGTGGCCTGTAGGAATACTTTTCATTTGGGATCTTTTGATATTTAAAACCAGGTTTTTCTGATTTTCTTCAGTTGTGGGTTTTTAAATTCATTCAGACAAATCAAGTATTTCTGTGAAGTGTTGATGAATAACAGAATGTAAGTACCAAGTCACCATAAAACTGAAGAAGCATAGATTGGAAAATTTTAGCAGACTTCAAATTTGACCAAATCTCTAATCACATCAGAAAACGGGGTCCTCTCTAGAACCACCACATCCTACTGTAGTCATGTTGTATCAAAGTGAAGCATTTTCTTAATTTAAGCGTAAGCCATTATTTGAAATGTTGGACTGTGGATGTCATATGGATCAAAGCTGTAAAGAAAAGCAAACTTCTAAGGAGAAATTTCACAGTAAACACTTTCTGTGAAAATGCTGTGCTCTGGATTTTGTCACTGAGTGTTTAGAAAACCACACCAAGCATATATGGACAACTAAACTGGTGAACATATGTAATCAACATGATAAAAATAATATAAGATTCATACTGAAGTTGACACTGCTGCCAGACATAAAAGTACAGTTGCAAATAATACCAAGTGAGAAAATTCACAGAAATACAGATGAACAAGTGTCTTATTCTTCCTGCTGGTCTGTTTTTCAGATGTTGTAGTCTCACTCTTTAAAAAAATAAATTCCTACTGTTCTCCAGTAAATGTTACCGTTAGGAAAAGATTCTAATTTTGTTAATGCATTTACCACCTAGAGTCTGATAGCTATATTTACTTTAAATGGATCAAATTTTTCCGATATTTCAGTTGATAGTTTTTTTTCTTTGACTTATATATCATGGTCTCTTCCTTGTATTAATTTTTTGGTGGCTTATAGTATTTATCCCTTAAATAAGTTTTATTTAGGTAGCTTATGTAAAATCTTAGGATGTCAGAGGTCTTAGAAATTACCTAATCCAACTTCCTTACTGTACAGATTAGAAAACTACAGATCTGAAAGAATAGTTGTCTCTAGTCAAATAGTGATAAAACCAAGATTACAATTCATATCTTTTGACTCCCTTAGAATCTAGGGGAGGGATTACAATGGAACATAAATTCTGGGTGAAAATACTTTAGTTTTCTAACATTTGAAAATTCTTTCAAGTATATCTATCTTTTCTTTTCCACTTCAGAAGTAAGTGATCTTCAAATAGGGCCTACTTTACTTTTGGTGGAAGAAATCTATTTTACATTGAAAGATTCTATCACCATCAGTAATGTGAACCACTGAAATACTTTTTTCCTCCCCTACACTTTCCACTTTCTGACTCTTGCATGAATTGTGTTCTTACTTGCTTGGAACTCAGTTTGTATTTTGGGAGACTGTTCCTTTCAATTTTCCTTCTATCTGTGTGGCAGCTTCTTTTCAGCCTTTACTGGTCTTCCTCCTAAACAATCCCTTTAATATTAGTATCCCTTAGAATCTTCCTATTATTCGTTTTTGCCCAACTCTTCTTGGGTGAGTCCATCTGCTCAGGAAAACTTGAATTCCAAGCATGTATCATAACTTTGGAGTGTCTGTATAGCCCAAGATTAGCAATGTGTGTTAATATTTCTAGCGTTGTAAAATTCTGGATCCTGGATGGCAAAATCAACCTAATAGTTTTTTCTTGAAAGCTCACATTCCATGTCATTTCTAAATAAATAAACTTACAAAAGGTATTCACATAGGAGTTCATAAAAAATATTTGAAGGTCTCATTGAAATGCTAATATCATCAACATTAAAGAAGGAATAGCAGAAGTAGAAACCACTTTGGAATGAAATAATCAGAGTGGGAGTGGCTCAGAACAGAATTGTGTACACAAGGAAAAGAACCTGCATTCTAAGGCTGCTTTTATTAATCCCGTGATTATATTAACCATAAAAATCTCAATGCAACAGATGGGAAAGGCCACATATTTATATGATTCCATTTTTATGAAATGTCCAGAATAAACAAATCCATAGAGACAGAAAGTACATTAGTGATTTTTCAGGGGCTGGGGGGAGGGAAAAATGGTGAGTGGTGCTAATGAAGTTGGCATTCATTCTGGGGTGATGAAAATGTTCTGGAATTAGGTCTTGGTTGTGGTTACATAACTGTATATTACACCAAAAACTACTGAGTTGTGTACTTCAAAAATCTGAATTTTATGGCATGTGATTTATATCTCAATTAAAAAATATCAGTGAAAAAGAATGTTAGACAAGCCTGAATCTTTTTAACTAGTGCTATGATAACTTGACTTTTTGACAACTAAATGGGTCAGCATTCTCAATATCCAAAACCTTTTTGGGGGGATAGAGAATTTAAAGACTTTAGTTTGTGTGGCAGTTTGTATTCTCTTATACTTTTTGAGTCTCCATGACCTTTATTCATCATACTTGAGTGAAAGGGAATTTTTGTTATTTTGTGCTCCATCACACAATGTTTCCCAAAATGTGTACCACAAAATACAAATTTCATAGAATTAATGTTTCATCAATATTTTTATTTAAAAAGGAACTCTGAAGGAATTTATGAAAAATAGATTCTAAGATGCTCTGCCATTAGTTAAGTATATGATTTTGGCAAACTTAAAACTTCTGTGTGTCTCGGTTTCATCAATTATAAAAAAAAAGAAAGGACATTTTTTCTATAAATTTACTAACTAAATTGCACGAATTAACACTAACAATTAGCAGTGAACAATCTAAAAATATTTTTAGATTTAGTAAAATAAATGTTTCTATTCTATTTTATTTTTAGATTTAAGTGCTCAAATGAGTTTGGCAAATGCTTAGTTATCCGAATTTGAAAACACTTTCTTACGGCTTGGCTTCTCAGAACTCTTTTAAGACTATGCACACTGTGAATTCCTGAAAGGAAGCTAGGGAGGGCCATCATTCCAAAAGCTACTTAAAGATGGGTACATTTTAATGCACACTTCTCAAAACACTGGAATTACAAAAAACAAAGTTCAGAAATCTTGTTTTAGCCTTTTTATTTTTTGTCATAATATTTGTCTTATTGATTGGTTGTCTCTCTTCAGATACAGTATGTTTCTTGAGATCAAGGGTCTTTAAAACCGTCATAACCTCAAATTTTTTCAAAACATCCCTATGAAAATGATCGCATGATATTATATTGCTAAAAGTGATGGATTTTTATTTTAATATGAGAGAGAAAGAAAGAAGTACTGTAAGGGAGTCTTTTTATGAATACAAGAAAAGCACATGGGCCTCAGCAGCCATTTGTGGTTCTCATATTTTTGCTGTTGTTACTTCCTTCCCTTTGTCTTTCTGGAACTTTCTTTCCTTGGTCTGTCTCCTTACTTACTTTCCTGTTCATAACTAGGTTTTTCTTCCCTTTTTGTATATGCCTTTATTCTTTACCTTTTCCCCTTTATTTTCTCCCTTCTTTCCCTATCTCATTTCCTTTCTTGTTTTACTACTTCAATTGTTTGATTTCTTTCATAGAGTATAGAATGCCAAAAAGTAAATTAAATGTAAAAAACATATATTTTCTCCTTAGATTTTCAGTGTTTCACACCATGCCTCTTGTAAAATAGGTAAATTGTGTTTACAGAATAAATATATTCTATATTTTCTTTTTATGATTGGTGAAACAAAGACGCACAGAATTTTTACATTTTGCCAAAATCATATAACTAATGGCAGAGCATATCAGAATCTACTTTTATAAATTCCATCAGTTTCTTTTTAAATTGATATTTCTTACATTTAGTCTTTCCCCCTGTATATATAACTTAGTCATTTCACTGTCCTGATCCCTTTCCATATGTTTTTTACTTGTTCTTTTAATTTGTTTTTTGTGTTTCTTCTTCCTAACTCCTTCCCTGCTAAATGGCATCTATGAAGCATCCACAGCTAACATCATAGTCAGTGGTAAAAAACTGGATGCTTTCCCTCTAAAATCAGGAACAAGACAAGGATGTCCACTTTCAGCAATTCTATTCAGCCAGGGCAATTAGGCAAGAAAATGAAATGAAAAGCATCCAGAGTATAAAGAAGAAATAAACTATGTCTTTTTGCAGAGGACATGATCTTATGTATGGAAAATTCTAAGGGATCCACTGAAAAACCATTAGGTAAACAAACAAGTTCAATCAAGTTGCAGGATACAAGATTAATATATTAAAATCAATTAACACTAACAATGAGCAAAATGAATACTCTCAAAATTAAGAAAACAGGTTCATTTATAATAGTTTCAAAAAGAGTAAAATATTTATGAATAAATTTATCAAAAGAAGTGCAAAACTTATGAAAACTACAAAACATTGTTGAAAGAAATTTTAAAAAGACCATGATGCTCCTCGACTTACGATGGGGTTATGTAGCAATAAATTCATTGTAAGTTGAAAATATAGTAAGTAAAAAATGCACTTAATACACCTAACCTACTGAACATCATAGCTTAGTCTAGCCTACTTTAACATGCTCAGAACACTTACATAAGCCTACAGTTGGGCAAAATCATATAATACAAAGCCTATTTTATAATAAAGTGTTGGATATCTTATGTAATTTATTGAATACTGTACTGAAAGTGGAAAAACAGTATGGCTTTGTGGGCAGTCAAAGTGTGGTTTCTACTGAACATGTATCACTTTCACACCATCTTAAAGTCAAAAAATCCAATGTTGAACCATTGTAAGTCGGAGACCATCTGTAAATGGAAAGAAAACTACTTCTAGGCATTTCATGGTCAAATTGCTGAAAATCAAAAATAAAGAAACTCCTCCCTGATGAGCTGAGGTTGGAGGCTGAGGAAGAAAGAGTGAATACAACAACATTTGCCTCCTCAATACAGGATTCAAAGCCTAAGGCTGTACCCTGTCAGGAGAGAAAAGAAGCTTTTATCTTAAGTAAATTTTGACTTTCTGGTTAATTTAAAAGAGAA